CATGGAAGGAGGCTATGATGAAGGTCAAGGACAAGTCAAAGCACATGACTTAAATTACTTGACTTAAGGCGGCTTCAGAGTCCGAGTCTCAATGATGTGTCTCCAAAGCTTTCTGTCCGCCATAAGCTCCTTAATCTCCCCAGTGTTCTTGAGTACGGTGTCACTTATTAGGTTATCGACGAAAGTGAGCGGTGGTCTGCCCCTCCCTCTGGTCCCATGGCTAGGTTCCCGAAGGAGAAGTTGGTGTACTGCCAGGTCATCATATCGCTGGATCTCTGGATGTGCCCAGTCGACCTCATTCTTCTGGCCTGTATCTTCGAACTAACTCTTGGGAGTGATTTAAAGACCTCTTTGTTGGTACGATGTTCTCTCCAGTCCACGTTTAGGGCCATCCAAAGCATTTTACTGTAACATCCGTCTATTCTTTTCAAAGATTCTGTCATTGTCCACGTTTCCGTTCCATACAGGAAGATTGATTCAACTGTAGCCTTGAAACAGACGGATCTTTAAATCTCGGCGCAAATTGGACCTCCATATAGCCTTCATTTTGTGGTAGGCAGCCCATGCCTTGGCCTTGCGTACCCTAAAGTCGTGCTCTGTTGTACTTATCCAGGCTCCTGGGTAGAAAAAAACCTTCTACTTCCTCTAAGGCATGTCCGTCCTTAGAAGTTATTGTGTGTGGCTCCTCTTCTACTAAATTAACAGTAAGATGCTTGGTTTTAGACAAAAGAGATTTTCTGCCTCCTCATCAGATGAGGCTTCTGTAGGACTGTAGCATGTGATGACAGTGAGCCTGCGCTTTCCATTGAAAGGCATGGTGAGGATCCTTGCGCTGTAAGATTTTATAAGACTTAAATAGCCTCATATGCTGTCCTCGTCAAGATGATTCCTACTCTCCCATTAGAAGCGCCAGCTGCGTTTCTCCACGCAGATGAGGTCACTAGATGAATCCCTTTGTTCATCTTTTCTATCCTGGTAGGCTCAGAATGCACTACATGATGTTCTTGCAGGCCAAGGATGTGCAGTTTGATTCGAGAAAATAGTTCTGCAAGTTCGATGCGTTTGTGCTGTTCTCTGGCTGTTCTTATGTTAAATGTGCTAACCTTAGCAGTCCTTTTACATGATACAATACAATTGATGTTCATATTTTTTTGATGTTTTCTTGTTTGACTTTCTGTAGAAATAGGTTGTCGTGTTGTGGAGACCGAGTTATCAGCTTCTGTAATAGCAGCGTAATTACCCCGGCAACCACTTCCACTAGAAAAATAAGGGGCTTTAACCCTTAAGCTGCTGATAAGATTCATCTTGACTTTTCAGTTGGCTCACAATCCTGTGCAGTCCCTTGCACATTGGCAGTGGATTGTGTTCTTAACTCTTGCGCCACTAAAAGAGTAAAAGGTTAAGGCAATCCGCTTGAACAAAAGCCATCTTTAACTCTCACCATAATATCTTGGGTATCTTGAGCATGTAATTGCACGAACATATGCTATACAAGACAAATGTGACACTTCCTTTTTCTACCAAACAGCATCAGTTGTAATCCTTACCCAATCGTCACCTGCTCCAGTGTGGGACTTTCCGATTTTATCCCAAAGCATAAGGAGGTTAGAGTGAGAACAGAGCTACACTTTAGCGGGGACTAACCCTTCCCCTGACTACCTCGTTACCCGGTACCCCGGGCATAGGGAGCCGTATCCTGACTACCAGAGTGTGGTCCAGTCTAGCTGGGTCATAGTAGACTAGGTTGAACAGGGTAACAGCCAACACCTCTTTAGCTACTGTGCAATCCACAGTAAAGATTTACGAGTCTCAAAGCCTCTTGTAGACCAAGAGTTAAGGAGTCAATAGATCAAATTATTGAACTTCCGGGGCTCAATGTCTCCCGTCGACCGTCCTGCCTTTAGCCTGGACCCCCTGTCCAGTATCCAGTCTTCACCACGTGGAGGTAGTGGCTTTCATCATGCTGTCCGATGAGTGTCTGGAAGAGGGCACCAGCAGGATACCCCTTTTCAAAGTTCTGGGAGCCTCACATCAGACCAGGGCTTCCACCCAGCTTCTATCCAGCGGTGACGCCTTGGGCCACCTAAGCTTCACACAACCATTGAAAGACCACCTGCCTACTTGTAAAAATTTTGATGATGCGATAAGAACACTGTAACTTTGAAGGAGAGGCTTTCCAACCATCTTCTGACGGAGCAGAGAGTGACGAAGCGGAAACAGATGATAAAGAAGAGGAAGTGGAGGATATTGACTCATCAGAGGAATGGGCGAAAATAGTAACTGTGTATGGTGATGCTCTGCATCATGATACGGCTGTTGAGGTTTGCCTCAATGGAGGGCGAGATTGAATGCCATCCCAGTCAAGATTTTAGCGACTCCAGGGCCATAAACAAGCGAAGATATCACTTAATATCACATGTGATCACGCAGCTGATGGTAACTGCAAGATTCTTTCAGTTGGAGATAGAGCATGGTTTCTCGTTCAGCGGATGATCAGGAAAACGGAAACAGAGATCGTGAAGGTGAGACGAAAGGCTTTATTCCTCTCGTACCGGTTGCGGTCAGGGTTGGGGTCATCAGTGAGTTGCGTCCCTACTAACTCAATTTGCCATGGCCATCGAAGTGAGCATTACATATGGCTGATATCATATCTGGATGGCCAACTTCTTCTGAGCACATCAGTGAATAAAATACTGCTTTTGGGTGATATTTAAGCGATTATATCTATTGTGATGTTGTAGTGATGAACAACAACAGTGATGTTGTACTGATAATTGTTTTGCTAGGTGCCTACATGATTTTATTTCCTTCAAATGAAAAATTTGTAAAAAACCCAAAAAAACCCAACTCCTACCCTGAAAAAGGTCATACTGGGATTGGGTTTTTTTGGGTTTTTTTGGGTTACACCCCCCCCCCCCCCCCCCCCAACACTCACGAGAAGATAGAAAGGGTAAAAAGGGTGTCTATTTAAAGCTAAGGAGCCACAATAACGTCAGTGAACTTGACTTATTTTTGAACCCCGCCTCCCCTATCGTCCCCTGTTTTTAATTTTAGAAAACTCCTTCACCTTCGATTCCAATAATAGTACCAGTTGTACTTTTCGAGAGTGTCAGGCCATTTCCAGATTGACGGAAGCTATGTTAGATCAGTCACCATATTTCACTTTCAGATTTTAGACGTTAATTATGCCGACGTCGTTTTGAACCAATCCCCACGGCCCTCTCCCCATCGTCGTCGAAAGTCGATAAATCGGAAACCCCTTCTCACTTGTTTGACGATGTAATTTATGGATGGCCCCTAAGGTAAAAATAAATCTGTGTACAGAAGACAAAATATGCATTTTTTGTTGCCGCTGCCCGCCACTGACCATTAATCCTTGGAATACTTTGCAATATTCCATATCCACTAACCACACACTATGACATTGCCATGAAGTCCCTGCAGTTGATCTATATTAGGTATTATTGGGTCCCCCCATTTCCCTTACTGGGTATATATTGCTACTCACCAACATGGCGTCAGTCTCCGCTTTGGTGCTCAATGACACAATTGGTAATATCGAGCAATGGCTACCACAATATTCAGAACAATTTCTCCAATATCAGGCCAATTTCACAACTCAACGGAATGCATCCAGATTTGCTAAAAACTGCAGATCTAGTACATATTGCGGGTTATTGGCATCACATTTTAGTTCCGCTGCAAAAACCTCCTCACGTACTTAACTATATTGGCCACCCCTTCATGACGTCATAACACGTGGTGTGACGTCACACCTTCATCAAGCAATATCTGCCCTCAGTCCTGTTTTCCTTTTACGTTTAGTCTTGGCCCTGTCTCTATAGATTTTGTTGCGCTTCTTGAATATTAAGTGGGGAATCCTCAATACTTGTTTGATATCAATCAGGACAACTCCCAATATTGGATGACATTAATTTTGATGATCCCTAACCTCACAACTTGTACATGCCGCACTGAAATTCAAAACTCCCCATATTTCCCATCAGTTTTGATTTAGTACCATCTCGTTCCAGCTTGCTTCCTTATCACATAATTAAATTTGCGTGTAGTTTTTGATTGCATTTTCTTCTGTGATTCATTACCAGTCTGCAGCCCCCTCGTTTTGTTTTAGGGGCCGTCAAGTTACCAACATTAACACAGTGTGTCTAACCAGTTATACTGTATTCCCCTACTCCAATTAAAACTTCATTACAGTCGATTTTTCCACGACTTCTTCTTTCTTATCTTGAATTTCAGACATTTTATTCTTTTAAACTCATGTTAAAATAAACTAGAGCGAAGCTAGAGGGCTCACCTCGCGGCACCTGTAAACTAGTAGAGTGTAGGTGGGATTATTGCTGTGGAATAATCTCTGTGTCCACTTCACGTGTGACTTTCTTTGCTCCCACATTCCGGACACATTCCGGACACATTCCGCTATGTCCAGAATGTTGCAATAACAAAATACACCCACCAAAATGTCAATTTCCTTGCAGCCTTTTGTTTTGTACGTTGAGATTTTGCCATGGATTTGTAATTATACCTTCTTTAATTTCGGAACGTAATTATTTAGTGAACCGAACCTTCTTTTAGTTGTACTGTTCGATCGTAACATTGAGGGTTAGTACTAATTAAGCAGATATTACACAGCGTGGAGTATTATAGTAGTAGTATAGTATATAGTATTTATAGGATCAGTTTTTATCTCTGCTATTTAGTTGTGGTATTCTTATTTTAATGTGTTGCTGTGATGTATGTGCAGACAACTGCTTTGTTCTTTTGTTGTTTCTTAAAGCTGTTGCAATTACTTGGCAATGCACCTTGTACGTGATAATTTTGTTGTGAATACTGTACCCTGTACTTTGACTTCATTTCAGATAAATGATAAGATATTTTGCTATGGAGATGATAGACTATATTACTATATTAATATTATTATATACTATATTAATATTATTACATACTAGAATATTACTTCCTTCTTACCACTTATTTTCCAGGAAGACGGGGGGATAGTTATGTAAATATGTCGCACCCTTTCATTGCGTACGCGAAAAGGTAAGACTAATATTGTTGCTTTCATTTCTATTTATCTATATTTAGGTGAAATATTAATGATTTAACTTCTCATTTTGCAATACTGTTGATAACTGTTAAAAGGGTTTTTAAATCTAAGCTTCCCAAAACGTTTAATTTAGTATGTATAATCTAAAATGAAAATACTACGATGTGGCTTTGTCCAGGAATGGTTAAGGAGCTGACGTGATATCAATTTTAAAGATGGCCATTTTCCACTGAATTCGACATCTTGGCAAAGTTATATTCTCAGAAACGAAATTTGAGAAGTTTGGAATGGTTCCAGGGATATGTACAATTTTTTAAAAAGTTTTTATATAGAGCTACTTGCCACTTAGGTCCAGGATCATTATAATACATAACGCCGGACTTCTAGGCAATGTGCTTGGTTGTGAGACACACTCAACTAGGTAAGGTTGAGAGACCTCAAATCAACAGAGTGTGAGCCACTGCCTGTACTATAAATACTCCCCTTATAGAATATGCTAGTACTATAACACTTTAGCACTATAACAGTATAAGCTGATCACAGTTCCCAACATACAGCACTTTAAACTGTTGGACGGTAAACTTAAACGGTTCCCCGAGAATTTGCCATCGCCAAATTACAAATTATAGGATTCGTTTATCATGACAATCCTCACTAAACACATAAATTTCTCTTGAATCTTACTGGCCGGTTTTCAATATGCTCTCTTTTTACTGGCCAGTTTTAACTGCTGTTAAAAATGCGACTGATTTTGACGCTGGAAATATTGGAGAGTACCAAAAGGTATGATACCTTTTAACCATCTAATATTTATAAACCTGACAACTTCATATGTTATAGGTTGAATCTTGATCGAGCAAGAAAACAAACTCCTCGAACTTACAACTATCCTACAACTACTAACCCTCTTTACCCTGTCCAATAGGTTGGGTTACGATGAGAAGTTAGCGCAGAAAGCAATTCAGACACGAGGGAAGGATGCCGATGATAATGAGCTGTTACGAGTTTTGATATCAATCGTGGACAGTCAGAAGGCTATGGAGTATGTTAAACGCAACAAACCAGGTCAGCTTGTGGTTTTAGATATGTTAATTATATGTTAATTATATAAATTGGGTAATGATTTGCAAAGTTAGCAAAAAGGTGCTCCACCTGTACCATGTGGATTGTGGGGCAGTCAATTTTTGGTTCGTTTAATAAAAATAAGCTGTTAAAAATATGTTAAGGAATGGCTGAGACTTTTACTTAGTACTACTTGTTTTAGATAATGATTATAAGTAATTTTCTGTGAGATCTTAATATGACATATGAATGGACTGTTTACTATGTACATCAATTAGTTTTGTAGCATTTCTTTTTCAGGTTCATCCTCTAACAAAAACAAAAAGAGACATTAGAGGGTCCTAAACCGGTTTATTACCGAAGGTTGAACGAAAGAACGAAACTTATCCTGCCGATGACGTCAGCATTCTCGCGTGACGTCATCACAACTCTGTGATGTCATCACTATATTCCGTGAACATCACAATTTCGTGACGTCGGTACTTTAGCTAGTGACGTCACAACATCTCCTATCCAATCCATAACAGTTTGCGAAGAGACCAGGTACGGTTTTAGAGTCGATATCTTCTTCAACTAGGCAACACCACATTTTCACCCTTACGACCACCAGTCAAATTCCAACGTCGCGAGTAGCTGAATTTTATATTAAAACTCGGCGGCTTGTCAAAGTCGTCGGTTTTTGATGGCAGCGGCTTCCGACCATGTTCTGATGTCCGGCATTTGATTGGTGAGTTGTTGTGTTGAGGATGAGTAATGTTTAGTAAGAAGGAGAAATAAAAAGTGTGGTTAAATAGGCAGGTTAACAGTGGAAGATATTATCTGCCCGGATTGGATGTTGTTGCAAATTCGTTATTAAGTGTGGTGGGTCACGTGATAACTCCTTGTCGCGTGATAAATACTTGTCACGTGACTCACATGTGATTTAGATTGGATTTGTAACAACTGTACGGGCGTTTATTCCATTACTTTTAGTAAAAGTTCGCGATTTAATTTTCTCCCATTGTTGTAGTAGCATATACAGTTGGACAGAACCTCACGGTACAAACTAGATAGCTATGATTTATTTTACAGATACATATTATAAATCCCCACAAAATTACACTAAATCTATGTTTGAAGATTGATGATGTTAACATTAATATTATAAAATAGCACGAGAGAGATATGGTACAATAAGTTTCAGCCGCTAAATAAAGGAACTTTCTAGATGTTATAGGGATCACGTGGCGGAGACTAGGTGGCCAGCACCGTCTGGTTTCAAGCACAATTCTAATTTGATTTCATTGGCAGCATTTTTATATAATTTGATAAGGACTGGACTGAAAAACTTCTCCTGAACCGGCCATAAATTTTTGGATGAATTTCGATACGCACCCAAAAAATCACGCTCGTTCAATGGTAATCACGGAGTTCATTATTCAGATCGGCGGCTGAAACTCGATCGTGCCTAATCCTGGTTTCCGCCTAAAGATGGCTGAAAGAAAACAATATTTTGTATTAAGTGCCACCGTGAAAATTACATATTTTATGTTTATATGATATATATTGATACGACTTAGTTTTGTCAGATAGCAGTATACTATGGTGTCAAATGGATGAACTTTGAGATTTTTTCTGTTGGCTAGTAACATAGTTTAAAGTAGTCAGTACCTGTGGTGGCTATCGCCCTATCAGGTGACCGTTACAATCGATCAGCTCCTGGTCCGCTACCAATGACCCGGTAGATTTGTCAGCACATTCGGTAACCCGATCTACAAGGTCGGATGTGAAGTGTTACTTCCATTTGACACCATATAGCAGCCCAGTCTGGCACCATCTGGCAATTTGTTACATTTATTCTTTGTAGAGAACCCACACCAAAGTAAGTTGTAGAAATTAATAATCAACTGTTTCTCAAAATCGTATAATTCCCTTTCGATCATCATGATATTTTAGCTCATTTCATTGGCAAAAATGGCCATTTTCCCTCCCTTTTTTGGAGAATACCTTAATCATTGTTAATAGTATGAAGGTGATCGATTGGGATTGTAGATACAAATTATTCCTGTAGTGTTTTGATACCTAGCAATAAAAACTTAGTTTTAGAATTTAAGTTTGAAAGTTTTTCTCATTTATTAGGTTTTTGCTATTTATTGATTGTGTACTCACTCCTCTAATAATACGGGTATGCTATAAATAAAGAGGTCTGTTGTAAAAGTATTAAACAAAAGCTGCCCATATCAACTTACTAATGTTTTTACCCTTCTTAAAAACATTTTAGATTATTTTCCACCATTTTTTAGAGTAGCGGGTTTAATTTAAAATCTTGCCGTTTTTGGGTTTTATCATCAGATCCAGTGCCCCAAAATGATAAGTTTTTATTTTCGTAGTTAACAAGTTTTTATACATCCCTTCCGAAAATGGCAAGTATTTAAACTCTAAATATCCTATCTCGGGTTAGACGGGTCTTATCTTAATCCTAATGTTATTTAACTGTATCATAGCTCCACTCCTCGGTACCACGTGACTTTAAGCCAAACATTTACTACTACTACTACTTCGTTACCATGGTAACAGTCACGAGATAACCGAGCGTAGTGGAGCTATGATGTTATTGTATATTAACCTCGGAGGTTTTAATAACATAGTTAACCTAGAAAGTTTGTTTGCCTACAGTGTATCCTAATATATAATATATTGCGAATACAGTTCGGCTGAGATAACTTCAAGTGGTCACGTGCACACGGACTATGTGGTAGCCGAATGACATAGTCCTTAGATTGCACATCAATCTTAGATTGCAGTGTTGGCTCCTTTGATATAGCCAAAGCATTGCTTGATAATATATCAGAATTTTGAATGCTTATCGGCAATTCTTTTATTTCAACTCAGACAAGATAAGGGCAATGAGCGTTTGGCTACATGCTGTGTGCACTGATAAACTGTTAATTTAGAGTATGTTCTTTGTTTATTCAAGGAGAGAAGGAGACAACGACATCGTATTTGATTATCTTTTAACGAGACGCCAAAATTTGGCAGCCGAAGAGCGAGAGGAAGATGGGGTGTGTGTGTGTGTGGGTTTGTAGTAGAGGTGTCCTACCTCCAGCTCTTATCATGTGGGTTTGTAGTAGAGGTGTCCTACCTCCAGCTCTTATCATGTGGGTTTGTAGTAGAGGTGTCCTACCTCCAGCTCTTATCATGTGGGTTTGTAGTAGAGGTGTCCTACCTCCAGCTCTTATCATGTGGGTTTGTAGTAGAGGTGTCCTACCTCCAGCTCTTATCATGTGGGTTTGTAGTAGAGGTGTCCTACCTCCAGCTCTTATCATGTGGGTTTGTAGTAGAGGTGTCCTACCTCCAGCTCTTATCATGTGGGTTTGTAGTAGAGGTGTCCTACCTCCAGCTCTTATCATGTGGGTTTGTAGTAGAGGTGTCCTACCTCCAGCTCTTATCATGTGGGTTTGTAGTAGAGGTGTCATACCTCCAGCTCTTATCATGTGGGTTTGTAGTAGAGGTGTCCTACCTCCAGCTCTTATCATGTGGGTTTGTAGTAGAGGTGTCCTACCTCCAGCTCTTATCATGTGGGTTTGTAGTAGAGGCGTCCTACCTCCAGTTCTTACCATGTGTCTTTAAATGTTAGACCTCCTATCTTTGGCCTAACAAATTATAATGTAACATTTTTGCTGATCTATCATCACGATTTCAAGTCGTAAATTGATAAGTTTGTATTCCAATTCCCGGCTTATGCTATAGCCTTTAAAAGCCTCGCATAGTTCAAAATGCGAAACTTTTTATAATGTGAGGAGGACCCTACATTGCAAGACGGGGAATACTGGCCATTAATGAACTAGGTTTCTAGTTTTCTGGGCATTTCTCTAGAAATAGTATTGGTAATAATCTAGTAATACTGGCTGGGAACGCGACATGCTCTTAGTATAACAGACAGTGTCTCGCATTAATAAGTTTTACAGAGTTACTTTTTTGAGATATTTAATTGAAAGAGCGAGTGGAAGATTGTTTTAGAGTATCCTGATAAATAGAGAGCGAGTGAAATGTTGTTTTAGAGCATCCTGATAAATAGAGAGCTAGTGAGAGGTTGTTTTAGAGCATCCTGATACATAGAGAGTGAGTGAGAGGTTGTTTTAGAGGATCCTGATAAATAGAGAGCGAGTGAAATGTTGTTTTAGAGCATCCTGATAAATAAAGAGCGAGTGAGAGGTTGTTTTAGAGCATCATGATAAATAGAGAGCAAGCGAGAGGTTGTTTTAGAGCATTCTGATAAATGCTCAACTGTGACTCTCCTGTAAAACAAGTAGTCTAAGTTTCGCCGATAAAACTGTTCGATTGAAAAATTTATCTGTTTTTCTTTATATTATGCTGATGCTGTGATAATATAGGCTCCTAAACCGTGATGATTTTGTGTTTGTTTTACGTGATTTTTGTTTCACCCCCATGGATATTATACTAAACAGTTTGAAGTGAAACATCAACCTTTATAAACGGTTTTGTTTATAATCATGAACAGTTGTATTGGTTTCGTTTATAATAAAGATACGTTTCCTAATGTACCATGTATTGGTTAGTTAGTCATTAACGCTTGTGTTGCTTTACAACTAATACTACAGTTCATTCCTACGTTTTATCTCAATTCTTTCATTGCACAATTCACAGGCGTTAATGACAACAATTTGGCTAGAACTCCTGGGACACCGAATTTGTCACTAAAATACAGTTAGGATATTGAGTCCGACGTCGATCCAGGAGTCATATCAACCTGATATGAGTAGAATATCATCTTATTTATCATCACACTACCCTGAAATTAAAAGATAGGATTATCTCATTCTCATTGTATAATAGATCATACGTTTACTAATTATGGAAAAAAACAATTTAAGGATATTTTACTACATTTTTGAAAAATATGAGATGGTCACACAAGCATGATTCAATGTACTTTGGGCTTTTAACCA